CACCTGGGTAGGTACCTTGGTACCGCCTCTTGTCTGGTAGGTACCACAGGATCATGCATGAGGGGGTTCCCCCTCGTTCCGCTGGATGTGCACATCTTTTACTACCTATGTTATTAAATTGAGGCTATATTAGATATACCTACCGTAGAGCGCCCAAAACCGGATCACGTACCATTGCTGGATCACCTCCGCAAACTAAACTGGACCTATCTTGATCCAGTCTCCTATTTAACAAATGTCCAAAACTGGATCAGCGCTTTTGTGCGGAAAACCGAGGTTTTTGACTCCAGAGCATGACCTAAAGTTGGTCAAATCTGGATCCAAGTGTATCGGCAGATCTATTAGGGACGCCCTTGAAAAACCTGGATATGAGGAGAAAACCGCACTTCTAAATTGTAATTGCGTTAAAAAATACTGCAAATAAGCGGTGCGAAAAATAAGGTGATCCAGTAATGGGCGCTCTACGGTAGGTAGTTTTAGCTTCAAATTCTGAAACCAGCCTAGGTAGCTACGGAATTGGCGTTCAAGCCCCTTGCAGTACCTACAAACTTTTCTAAACGGAGCGGCTCATTCTTCGCAAACCGAGCATCTTCAGCAACATCATCTGCTGCAAGGGTCTGGAACGTGCATTCTGCTGCTCTAAAGATGTATCATCGTTTGAAGGCCAGCCTTTTGGTCGTGTTCTTGACTGCTGCAGGACAGCGCGCATCGGGTCAAGCGGTGAGTGGGAGCATTGCAACTGTGATGGCACAAAAGGAGCAGATTGCGGTGCAAGGGGCACGCAGCGCAGCGATCAATGAGGAGAATGCGTGCGGTAAGCCTTAGCACGCCCGACTGTGCATGTAATGTTGTCCATGTGTGTTGTTCGGTGGCATTCTTGGAGACCGTTAGTATAGATGCGTGAAGACACATGATTAGGATTAGGTTACAGATGCGGTTATAGAGCAAACTCGTCATGGGTTCTGCACACGGCACCATGTTCAGAAAGCAGCACAGGGTTAGTGAACCTCTATATGAGGTTGGAAAGTTAGAGCAACATGCGTAGAGTCGGTGCACAGTGTTTGGCTGGTAAGTCCTGGGGTCTGTGCTGGCAATGCAGCGAAACCCCTAAGGTAGTTCCAGTGTGATTCCAGTGTGATGACCTCTTTTATCTGATTGCGGAAGGGCTAAATTGTGAAGAAGCTCGTAAGCTTAGATGCGCGATAGTTTGATACCAGAATCAAATCTTGGACGCTGACGAAGGTACTGACAAAACTCCAAAAGTAGGATGAAAACAGACCTTTTTTGACTCCGCCAGATCTTCTTTGCAGCGGCGATTGCGGCGTGCGGCATCAATCCCTCAGCCCTTGCTTGCACTCTCGCTCCTGTATCTTCCATGACAACCATCTGCCTCAACACTGGGCAAGGAGAACAGCCGGCGTGCAACAATGCCACTTGCAGCAACCTTCTGTTGTCATATGACCAATCTAATATCAGGTAATCTGGAGTTTTTTCAATTCAATTCAGCATTCGAGTCTTTGAATCAGAATTGGTTTGAAGTTGCAGAGGGGTGCAACAAAGCTCTCCGAACTGGCCGAGAAGCTGAGCAAAGACACGCTCTGTTCGTTAGCACAATGTGTTGATAGCTCTGTGGCAGATGTGGACAAAAGTTCGAGTTTTGGACTTGGCGCTGTTTGAAAAGTGAGTTAGTCTGCAAGGCCGTCTAGAATTCAAACCGGCACCATCACTTTCTTGCCTATTCGTTTTTCCTGTCTACCAATTGTCACTGCCCTTTATCTGTTCCACTCTTTCGAAAAACTCAACTAATCTGCTCTGGCCCTTATTGGCGCCTGCTTTTGTGCAAAATCATGCAATATCTGTCTGTTGCCAGCCTACCGAAGCCTCCTGTAAGATTCTGCGACCTGTCTATCAAGGACTAACCCCGTGCCATACCTGTTTCATCAACCAGCCTTCTGGATTGGTAATATTCCATCAAGGTATCAGAGGCCGTCCTGCCAATATTTTGGGCTTGAGACCCTTTTTACGTGCACAAATGTGAGTGCTTTTCAAAATTTGGCTAGCCTACTGATCTTTGCAGACTACCCGACGGGGTTGGCGTCAAGAAAGCCCCAGCGCCAAACCCCGGCGCCGTGAACGCTCGACTGCGCACAAACTACCTGCAAAGAGACATCTGTGTCCAGAAGCAACTAGACACTGTGTACAAGAGCGTCGTTCCTCAACCCTCAGGCAGCGACATCCCTGACTTTGCATATTATGGCGGCGCATCGGGAGTGTTCCGCATTTTCCCCGCGGTGGTAAGGCCCGTTCTACTTTCAACCGTCAAAGGGTGAATCAATCACCTGAAAACATGCGAATCGGTGCAAGATAGTCAATAACAGCAAACCTCATATTGGTTTAACGTTTGACTGGAGCTGACATGCTATAAGTCGGAGAACATGGCCAGCACTCGGAGCTCGAGATGGTCGATCTTCTGCAAAGTTTGACCAGCCCTGTCCTGGAACTTTCCCTGAAAGCTTGAGTCAGGGAAGCCGACCGAAACAGGCGGAATGACTTGGTTAGTTGTTCGCGAAACGTCTAACTAGAGTTTGCGGCTGGTCAAGTTTTCCATGTCATCCCTTCTGTTTCAGTTCACGCTGACTGGCCCAAAATATAACAGGCGTCCCGAGATGCCCGTTGCTTAGCACGCAGGCCAGTTGAAACACAGAACGCTCGGCCGTCATGTTCGTGCTACTTGGAGAGCAAACCGGATCGGTACATGCGGCCTGTGATCTCTTTTGGCAGGCATACGATCAGTCCCCGCTTGCTGATGGCAGCGGAGTGCAGTGCTCTCCGTCGTACGATCCACGAAGACGACCTTGGTAAGCTCAAGGAGTGTCTATCTCTCTCTAGCTTATCTAGTCTTTCGGTATACATGAATACGATGCATTGTCCCAATTGTATTGCTCCCCACCAGTCGCGCTGACTGAAGAAGACCCATCTGATGTAGTTGTCACAGCAGAAGGCTCTTACTTTTGGATCCTTTCCATGTTATTGTGATCTGATCCTTTTCGAAACGCTGCAACTCGCAAGCTGCGAAGGTTCTTGATCCTGATCTGCCCATGCCTTGTCTGACGTCACGTCCTCGATCTGCTCTCTCTTTTTTCAGATACTCACCAGAGTTTCGGCTGGTCAGGAGGGGCCTGCTACAAAGACCCTGGAGAGTTTGGCTAAACTTGATTTATTCAGCGGTGGGCTCGTCCATGTCTTTGTGGTCATCTATAGCGCGCCTAACCCCGTTTGCAAGACAGTACGGAATCATCAAACTGCCGGTCCGGATATTCTGTACAGCGAGAGCCTAGCGGACACTTCAAGCCGCAGGAGATCGCGCCTTGCGCAGGGCGCGGCCGCAAATGGAGCAACTCCTGAGCCCTTGCTATAAAGCAGAGCTTCAGCGTTACCTGACATGGCCCACCTGCGGATGTGTCATGCGCAGATTCTGGGACAAGAAATCACGAATCATTCTCAAATTAGACATTTGGTGGGGCCTAACGAGCGCTGACCCCTTCTTTTCAAGTCTTGGCGGATGACTGAAAGGCCGTTCTTCATCAACCAGGTACGCCGGTGCGGCCTCCCAAACGAAGCTGCTCGTTATCCTCTTGGACCTAGGACCCTTCCTCAACTCGCCGATCGCGTTCGGCACGGCCGCTGGCGTCACCAAGCTGGCTGCGATGAAGGCGGCGACCGCGGCGCTCTTTGAGTCTCTGAGGGCCTTCGACGTGGTCGCCGTGGTGACGGTCTCCAACTCGACCGGCGCGCAAGTGCTGACGACGGCATACGGACAATTTGTGAGTCGGCATTTGTCATAGGAGGAAACTGTGCTTCAAGAACGTGCTTCAAGTGCCTTTCTTAAGAGTCGAAGGGCCTTAGACGCGGTCGCCAAGGTTGCATTCTCCAACTCGACGGTGCGCAAGTGCTGACGACGGCATACGGACAATTTGTGAGTCAGCAACCGTTATAGGAAGAGACTGTGCTTCAAGAACTTGATCAAAGGTACTTCCACTCTTTCGAGTCTCTGAGGGCCTTTAACGCCGTCGCCGTGGTTGCAATCTCCAACTCGATCGGCGCGCAACTGCTGACGACAGCATTTGAACAGTCCTCGAGTCGTCTGCAAAACTATCCGCCGTTCTGGAACCCCCTGCACGAGTAGCGTTGCTCCGTAGCTGTATGCAAACTGGGAGAGTAACAAAGACCATTTGATTGCGGTACATACCAACACGGCTGAATACGGCGTAAGGACGGGTAGCAGTATCTGTGCTAAAGTTATCAACGTGATCAAAGGATCCTGCGCAGGCGTTCCGAATTCACTAGATTGAAAGTCCCGTAAGCTTATTTCCAGTTCTTTGTCTGCCGGACACCTCGATCGCAATGAGAACACCTTTTAGTAGAGGCCATACAAAAACTGAGCCACGTTTGTCGGCTAGATACTCCCTGCTTTCTCGACTTTCCACTTCACTTCTGCATCCCGCAGGTTGCGACTCCTATTGTCTGTTGTCTCGTACTTGAACAGGGACCCGTTCGGTGCAGCTCGTCCAAAAGCAGAATGCTCCTTTTAAGAGGACGAAAAGTTAGGGCCGTCAGGCATTCAGTACCAGGTATCTGGTTTTATTATGCGTCAAAATGGGGCTGGAGTGAATCATGATGATTGCCTTGAGAAGCGGCTTGCCAACCATCAGAAACCCCAAGCAGCATTTTGATCCCTCACCTCTCCCCCTTGCTCTCAAGGCCCCGGTAACGACGTACAACGTTCCCCGGGTTGACAAAGGGGACGAAGCGATCATGGCGCTGGACGCGGCGGTCCAGAACTTGACGGCGGCCACTTCCGGCACGACGGATCTGTTGAGCGGTCTCACTCGGGCACTCTCAGTCGCCGACTTCGAGCTCGACTTGGGGAAGACTATTTGCGAGCGGGTAAGCATATTCATCTCCGTTATTTTGCCGTCCCCTGTCTTGACTCAAGTGACCTGTTCTCGATCCTTCAGGCTCTCCACTTCGTCCCTCATTTTCCTTTCAGCTTTGCTCAGAACCCCAGGCACGAAGGGGAAGCGACGTTTGCTTGGTTGGTGGTCTATATCACAACGTTTTTCACCATGTATTTCTCTGACTTTCGAAACAGTGCCTTTGTTTAGCTGTCCCAGCGGACGGACGTAGATACAAACCCCCCGCGGTGTGCTCTACTCCCCTAGTCTATAGATTCCAGGATCGACGGTCAGTTGGAGGACTTGTTGGGGTTCCATCCAGGCCGTTGAGACGAGGATTGTGGTTGAGAGAACTTTTGGGAGTCCGCTAAGGGTTGGCAGTCTAGATTTCCGTTCTGACGAGCTTCGAAAAGGACTTCGTTCTTCCTCAGACCGTGCAAAAAAGTTGTGGTTTTGGACAGAACCTGCATGGAGTCGAAGATGCGTTCGTCCTCGAGGACTGAATGGTTCTTAATCAAAGCCGCTTGCTTGATCAACAAAGACAGATGTCTAGAGGAACACGAATGTCGCGGTTTGGTCCTATGCGAGAGCAATTGTCCAACTGGAGCCAACGTCCACTGCTGCTTCGTGAAGTGCTTGCAGAGCAAATAGAAAGATTAAGGAAACACAATGGTCCTGGTGCGAAGCTTGACACGAATGTCGGCTTTAAATAGTCGTCGCCACATGGGTAGGATGCCGCAATGGCACCCATAAAGCTCGGCGACTTCGAGGCCCGCAGGGATCACCTACTGAGTCGCTCCAATCGTGAGCATGTGACAAGATCGGCGGGGAGCGTGAGTTTGGTGTTAATCTTCGCACATGCCGAGAAGCAACTTGAGAGAGACGCCCTCATTCGTTCAATAAGGGTTGCTCTCTTAGCTTTGTCTTTCTCTTCAGGTGGTTGTCGTTTTAACGGACGGTCTGAGTTTGGGTAACACGACAGCAGCGGGTTTGACGGCGGCGGTGCAAGCGCAACAGCTCCGAAGAAAAGAAACAAGCGTCCTGTTCTTCTCCGTCGGTGCGAGTAAGTCCCATCATTGAAGTTTTTGAGTTGTTGATCTCCGCTTCTTCCTGTGACGGATCACTGGGGAGTTGCAAAATCCAAAGTGCGCTGATCGAGACAATCTGCGAGGTCACGGTGTTGTCTATCTTGGATATTGGTAGGAGGTACTTCCAGAGAACCAACTGCCACAGACGCCTGAAGAACGAGAAACCTTTTGGCCACGATCTCGTGGGTGCGAGCGCGCGCCCGTGATCAGATATCAAATTCGTTGGACTTCGCCGTTGAGTCGTAGACTTAAGCGCGCCGTTTGACAAACCCATCTGACAGCATTCTTGTCCGTCTTTGTCCGCGATATACTAAGCTTAAATTCCCTATCACGAAGAGACTATTTCAACACGCCCTTAAAGAGGGCGTTGGCGGATGCATCCGCATTCAGCGACCACTCAGCAGAGATTGATGGTTTTTGGTCGCCAAGATGGTACCACGTGGTCATTCGCTGATGGCGACTACTTACCTTTCGCTCCGCCCGCTACGTCGCTAATGACGTCACTGCGGATGTATCCGCCAACGCCCTCTTAAAAGAGACACAAATCCCCGCCGTACACGTGGGAGGAGCGCCCAGTCGGGGGCGCTCCTCCAGCAAAATGAGGGACGGTTAGTAAGTTAACCCTGAAACCGAACAGCCAAAAAGCGCTTGAAGACGATGCAAACTGAAAGGCGTCCAAACCCTTGCCGCGCAGTCGGGAGGAGCGCCCAGTCCGACGCGCTGCTCCAGCAGGTGTCCTGCGCCACGGGCAGCGTGTGGGGCAAGCTGGACGACTTCGAAAACTCCCTGCTGTCGATGTATCCCTATTTCAACCTTCTGGCGGCGCGCAGCTTCTACAATCCGGGGGTCAGCAATCAAACCTACTTCACGCAGCGCTACACGAGCCCGTCACGACACGTGGACATCATCAGTCCGGCCAGACCAGGTGACCGACTCGGTTTGTTTGCTAACCTTGGTCAGCGCACTTAACCAGGTGACCGACCCGGAGTTGTGGGTTCTTATTGCAGAGGGTTCTTGTCTTACCGGGAGGTCAGGGCACTTGACCAGGCGGAAAGCGTCTTCGCCCGGTAGACACGCATCTGGACCGCGGATCATACACGCCTGGTCAACGTTGAAGTGTTTTCTATGGTTGTTGTGCAAGGGTTTGACCAGAGAACGCCTGCGTTTGAGCATAGCCGGGTCGGCCGTTCACAGGAAGCAATCTTCCCTTTTTTTTCATTCCGCGACTCCGGACCGACCTGTCTGTTGACTTTCACTTTCTTCAGCATTTTAAATCACGGAGCTTGCAATGCCGCATCGACTCACACTACAACAATTCAGGTCTCCTCGCTTGTGTCCATGACGGCAGCGCTTCAGTCTGCGAGACTGTTCGGCGGCCTGGTTTACGTGGCCCTCTACCTAAAAACCTTGGTCAACTGTCTCGCAACCAAGCATGCTCTGTAAACGATTCTCGTTCTAGTATCCGCAGTTCTTATCAGCAACTGTGCCGAATTCGTCCGATCTAACGAAAGTCCTAGTCAGAGGTACTGGAGCGTCCGGTTTCTATTGAGCGAAAGTCCTGAGCACAAGAGACAAAAAAGGGGGTGTTCTTCAAAGTAAGTGCGTAATCGGAACTGGGGGTCTGTCATTGAAGAAAGCCTGAGCGGAGTCGGTGTTTGACTTCGTAACAACGCCGGTCAACGGCGAACAGTCTTTGTATTGGCGATAAGTACGACGGGGAGGGGAGCTTTGTGGCGTCCCAACTAGAACTGGGGGTTAAGGCGCATAATAGTAAGGGTGATATCAGTCGGTGCAGCCTTCGACGGGGCGGGGAACTTTGTTGGCGTCACAACTAGAACTGGGTGCTAATAACAACAAGGTCAACATAGATCCTTTGTCTCCACGCAGTTTACGACGGGGCGGGGAATCTGGTGGGCGTTGCTGGGGGGGACTTCTCTTTGCAGTCCACGCTGCTGCGGAACTTTTCGCTGGAGGAGGTCGATGCGGAACTCAACAGCAGAATCACCTTGGAGCGGTGCTCCAACGTTACACTCTCGGAATGCCGCCTCGAGGTGAGATTTGCGTCTTGTAAATCCTGGGGTTGCACGAAATGTTTTCGATTGGAAGAACGCTTGGTTGGAGGGCTTTAAAAAAGAGGTGCTCCAACCTGACACGCTCGGAAAGCCGCTATGAGGTAAGATTTGGAAGTTTTTGAATTCAAGGTTGCAAAACACATTTTTCAGTTGGAAGCACGTTTGGTTGGAGGGCTTTTGAGAAAGGGGTGCTTTGACGTCACTCTTGAATGCCGCCTCGACGTGGAGATTTTCACACCTTACTTTCCAACAAAAGTAATCCAGGACGTTTGTATTCCTCAACCGGGCGTGGCTGTATTGACTCTTGCCGGATCCGGTGGATGGATATTCACGTGGAAACGCTAGTGGCTCTGGTTAAACTGGGCGCTTCCGTTTGGGGAGCGCTCAAACGGAGCGGTTTGCACGGAACGTTTTGGTGCCTCTAACCGTAAGCCTGGCGACTTTCAGTCCTTCTGAGACAGGCGGCTCTCATTCAGGGGTCCGAAGGATGTCGAAAGAGTGCAATTTTGGAGTCTGTGCGGCCTTACATTACCGAAGGCTTACTCAATGAGAAGCATCAAGAGGCTTTTTAGGTGCCCTGCTGAACCAGAGCGAGAGTAAGGCGGACCTAGAGCAAACCTCAGAGCGGCACCCGATGCGAAGGTCTTAACTTAGTCTAGTCGCAGTTAGCAGCTTTCAAACAGTCGACCTTCTGCTGCATACCTTCGTAGAATGGCTACGCGGAAGCTTGCGCTGAATGTAACATACGTTTCCTCTCCCTTCCATAAAGTTCACAAACTTACGCCGTGACCAATATAACCTTTTGCCGAGGTGCAATTCTTAGCCTAAGTTATGCGTGTCTTCGCTTTCTGCGAGCCCTGTTGCAGCTGAGTCGGCTTTTAAGTTGCATTGCTGGCTTTAGCTTTACTGGAAGTTCCTTCGTATCGAAGGAACATGCAGCAAATACAAAAGTTCCCCCTGACTCGCTTTCGGGATGATCCGACCTATATCACGACAGATCCCGTTGACGCAAGGCTCCCTTACGAGACAAAACTTGGAGGGTTAAGATTAGTAGATTGCGACCCGAATAGAAGTCTCACCACGAGGGTTTCGGAGCATTGTTTACCACGCCGTTGAAGCTCTGATCAACTAACCCATCTTCGTCCTCTGCAGACGATCCGCCAGTTCTCCGGGTACACTTGCGGCACCAGCTCGGGTTGCCCCGCTATAGTTGTCTCGCCCTGCTCCATCGCCACCCCCCCCCAGACCAACAGCAGCGTCACCGTTCTGCAACCCCCCCAGAGCAGCCCGCTCTCGGACCTGCTGTGCTGCGGCACGTGCGCATTAAATGCCGCCCCACTGCCCGCGCCCACAGCCGCTTCTAGCAACAGCACATCTGGGGGCGGCTTATCTGGCGCGGCGGTCGCGGGGATCGTTGGGGGAAGCGTGGGGGGTTTGGTATTCATGCTTGCAGTGATCGCCGCATTGTGGTGTTGTTGCCGCCGGAAGACGCATCCTGACGGTAAAGTACGTCAGCAAGGGGCGCTGCGACCTACCGGGGCAAGTATGAATGGACCAGCGGCTGCTAGAGCTTCAGAACCTGCTCGGTTGTCCCGTCCGTTTGCGGAAGTGGACGAGGAGACGATGATGAACCCGAACCGTGATTAGGGCGCCGGTCTACCGCGCGGTTATTTGAGAGGTATACAACGCTTGTGACGCAGAGAGGGAGGCCGTTAACGTATGAGATTGTGATTGGAAGCCGGTCCAACACAAGCGGATGATTAACCAGCCCTCACATAGGGATAAGCGAAGAAAACAAATTCAGATCGTACTCTCCAATTCGAGATTGTATCATAGTCGACCATCGTTGAAGAGGTCTCTGCGAGTCAACCAATCACTTAACCCTATGAACGACTCAATGCTGTTTAACCGACAGTAGTTTTTTTGGTTATAGTTACAGTAGTTGCTCGGCTTTGCTTCCAAAGCCGCGATAGGGGAGTTTGTTGAAGACTGCGCAGGCCCACTGTTGACATCTGTAAGTAAGCCCGAGAGCTAAAGGAAAGACGTCCAGCGGAAGGAAATAGAGGAATAGTTGCAATGGAAGGGACAGGTGGAAAACGCTGCGAGATTGCTGATCAAACGCACATTAATGGCCCTATAAGGCACCGCGACCGCATAGGCAAATGTGCTTGAGAGAGAGATCGAACGTTGGTATGTTCATGCTCGTAGCGAAAGATCGTCGGTCGGTCTATAGATCCGAATAGGAAGAGCGATTGAACCGGAATTTTACGGTTCGTTCATCGTCAAATCTTTAGCGGCGTAGCCAACGAATGGTTGGGATGTGCCTAGATGATCTGCCCAGCTCTATCCGACGCGAAACAGCAGCCAATCGTTTTGCACCATTTTCGCGCCCTGGAAAAGAAGGCGCGTGCAGCTGCATCATTGCAATGTCCAGGCCTTCTTGAAGCGCATGTCGTGCAAATTTTTCAACAGTGCTGCACATCGAAGGCTTATCTTCTGTATCTGCAAGGTTCTCAATCACTGCGCCCTTAAGGAGAGAACCACCATCCCTAGGTCGCGGCAAATATGCCGCCTTCGAATTAGTTGGGGTACATGGTCTGCATATAGAGTTTCTTTGCAAGACTAGCTAGCGCAGCGCCCCGGGCCCACCGCGCATCACCTCGCGAATTGCAGCGTAATGAAAGATGAGTTCGACGACGTCATGCACGTTGCTTTTATAAAATGTTCATTAAGCTGAGCCGTGAACCGTTTCATTCGCCTTATGCACCTAAAACTGGATATCCGAAGGCCTGACAGTTCTTTACATGTCATTGAAAAACACCTGCATATGTCTCCCGCGCCCATCCGAGCCTAGGCCCCAGCTGAGACACATGCTTATAGCTCCCCGCACCGTTTTCCTCACATGCGGCAATCAATGCTGTTGCTGAATTACTGGCATCTTCTTAATTCGTGTACGTCCTTATGCTCACGACCGTTTGTGCGTTAAACTGGATCGATCATTACTTCTGACATTATTTACGACCTGAGAACACTGATCCAATGTAGAGCGTTATCGTCTGGTCAAACCTTATTTGACGGTCTCCTTATCCGACGCAAGCTGACTGTTACTTTTTTGACTCGCTACTTCAACCTTACCGTCAACGACGGTACACTCAATCTCATACGGCTAAAGAAGACATCCCTGGTTAGAACTACTCACGACATATCTACGGTCGCTTACCGCAGGAAACAAGCTTAAACTTGGTTGGATACGTTATCAACCACCGCCCGGCGGCCTGTGTTGGAACCGCTCCAACAGATTCCATACTTGTAACCGTGACCTGTAACCCAATGTTGTCCCTGATAACTGAAGGAAGTCAGGATCCTTTTGAAGAGATCTGGAATTGTCTTATGTTGGTCGAGCGCCCTGGTGTCGACCTGGGTTCATCATATCCTCCTCGTCAACATCAATGACCGGACGCGGCCCCCAACTCGTTCCCAGGACTTCGGCAGCCGCTGCTCCGTTCTGAGTGTTCCCATCCGTTTGAAGCGGCACTTGCTGACGTGAGTTGCCGCCAGGTTGCGCCTTCCGGCAGCAGCAACAGTACACTACAACGATCACTATAATGATAACTACTAAACCCCCGACGCTTCCCCCAACGATTGCTCCAGTAGGTGAGCCGCCCCCCCCCGTGCCGTTGCCGGGAGCGGCTGTGGGCGCGGGCGGCGGGGCGGCATTCAATGCGCAAGTGCCGCAGCATAGAAGGTCCGAGATCGGGCTGCTCTGGGGGGGCTGTAGAACGGCGACGCTGCTGTTGGTCGAGGGGGGGGTGGCGATGGAGCAGGGAGAGACAACTAGAGCGGGGCACCCGGAGCCGGTGCCGCAGGTGTACCCCGAAAACTGGCGGATCGTCTGCAAGAACGAAGATGGGTTAGCGTTTTGGTTTGCAGCGGTGTGGGGGCCGAAGAACGCGGAGCGGTTGGGGAACTGCTTCTCTGGTCCAAAACGACTGAGCCTCGGAAGCAGTACATCCAAAAATATACCCAAATTGTCAACGGCTCGGTTCCAATCAGCGCCTTCCACTTTCGCAGTAACTCCATCTGAGGGCAGGTGGTCATCGCAACGGCGAGACTAGATTGTTCTCCGAAGCTTTTCAGCAAGCGAACAAGAAGAAGTGGAAGGGGCCGGTGATCTGCACGGCCGGCAGGGTGCCCCCGCTCTGGAATCCCTTCAACCAATGTTGACCAGGAACAACAATGCCCTTTGTGCATTCATATCAGGGTACAAAGCTACGGAGAGTCTCGACCCGGGGGTGCAAACCGAGAGCGTCAGGACTCAGAATGGAGCAACGTTCCAGAAACAGGCCCTAGATCCAAGCATGGCTACGAACGAATTGTCTTGCGTGTTCTGATATTCGGGAGGAATAGTCCAACGTCGAGGCGGCGCTCCGAAACCGTCACATTGGAACGGAAAGTTTCACTTCGGAGCGGCATTGCGAGAGCGCCACGTTGGACAGATGCGCCAAAATCGTTTCTTAAGGAGCAAGATATAGTTCAATCCGCCCTGCGTGATGCCAAACTTAAGACGTCCTGCGTGATCGCAAATACCGTAGCCGATTTATTGAGGAAAGTCTCACTTCGAGGCGGCATTCCGAGAGCGATACGTTGGAGCACCGCTCCAGCGTGATCCTGCTGTTCAGCTCCGCATCCACCTCCTCCAGCGTAAAGTTTCGAAGCAGCGTGGACTGCAGCGAAAAGTCCCCCGAGGCGACGCCCACCAAGTTCCCCGACCCGTCATACACTGCGCAACACGGGAAGGGTTCCGTCGTTCACCCCTTTTTTAAAGAATCGTTAACCCAGATTTTCATTTGTGACTCCCCCGCCCCGTCAGATACTGCGCAACACAGGGGAGGCTTCGTTCACCACGTTTCTGATCGTGATGTCAGAAAGCTTCCCCGCCCAGTCGGACACTGCGCAAACACAGGGAGGTTTTCTAAACCACGTATTATTCAAAATTTAACCCACTTCCCGCTTGTGAGACCAACCCCGCTAAAGGTAACCAATTAATACTTGAATACCTTCGCCGGTTTTGGTCAGTCGTGTGACTTGGCGACCCCCGTGTGCGCCCAATACTCTTCTACACTCGAAGAACCAAGCCTTATAGTACGCAACACAAAACCGAGAGACTCATCTGGCAGCTTGGATGGTTAACGTGAACGTCCGATTAAAAGCTTTGGGAAATGTCCCAGAGTACGTTGGAAACTTTTTCGGACGGACCCCATTGACAACACAGCCTGCTGAGGCTCCCGGCCCCGTCGATATAAACCTCTAGAATAGGTTTAGTAAGCTTAAGTTTTAGTACTGGGACGGGTAGGGTTAGCAAGGTGGTGAGGGTGGGTACGAGTGCGGAGCGGCGGATCATTTGGGTTAAGCTTTTTAGTGTTAGCCTCGTTCTTACTAAAACTTGAGCTTACTAAAACATTTCTAGAGAGGTTTCCCGTCAATTGCCGGGAGTGGACGTGCATGTCCTACGTTAAACTCTAGAAAATCAACGACTGACGGAAGCGCCGGTTACCTGGTCTGGCTGGACTGATGACGTCCACGCGTCGCGACGCGCTCGTGTAGCGCTGTGTGAAGTAGGTTAGGTTGCTGACACCCGGGTTGTAGAAGCTCCGCGCAGCCAAAAGGTTGAAATAGGGGTACATCGATAGCAGGGCGTTTTGAAAGTCGTCCAGCTTGCCCCACACGCTGCCCGTGGCGCACGAAACCTGCTGTAGCAGCGCGTCGGACTGAGCGCTCCTCCCAACTGCATGGCAAGAAGTGCTTCGGCGGTCGAAGGGCGTGGCATATGAAGTCGGCTCAGAGTCGTTTCGTGATGCGGAGATGAAGTTGCAGAAAGCCAAGATTCTGGGGACACTCTCATGGGCCACGAAGTGTAAGAAGGTGCCGCGCCACGACTTTTCAGATTAGCGCGCTTCAAATCACCTCTGAAAAGCAATCTACTCAGTGATGGAAGGCATTGCGGAATCGTTGGCAGCAACTGTCTGCAGGCGCTAGCATCGCAGGATTGTAGCTGAAAGGTTTCGTGCTTCAGGCAGCTGTGTGGACACGAGTGTTGAACACTAGAGAGTCGTTTCTTAAACCAATTCCGATATTATGGTCACACCACGGATTAATTCTTCCAAGCGTTTCCGATCAGCGCACCATTCCAGAACTCTGTCTCGGTCCGACACAGCTAAACCCTCCCTGGTGAACGGGACTCACTGGCGCCGACAGAGAAGAAGAGGACCGTCGTCTCCTTTCTTCGAAGCTGCTGCGCTTGCACCGCTGCCGTCAGACCCGCTGCTGTCGTGTTACCCAAGCTCAGGCCGTCCGTTAAGACAAGAACCACCTGAAAGGAAAAACAGCACTTAGAATGCGACATTGGTTCGTTTTAACGTGAGGGATACGCCCTCACGTGGCTTCTCAGGCTCCGTAAAGGCGAACAGCATCACAACTGCCGCAAAAATGACCGAGTGGTCACGGTTGGGGCGACCGACCAGGGGGCAGTGTGGGCTTCGGGTCGCCGAACGTCACGGGTCTCAGAAGCTTCCTTTTTACCACCAGGCAAGATCAATTAATGCCAGCAGCACTGCCTCGAACCAAGAGAGTCAAACAATGGTCGACCGAATGAGCAGATTGTGCAAGCACGGTGTAAGAGATGATGAACGCTGTCAAAGCTTTCTAGAAGGTGAGATTTGGACATACAAGATCAACGACTCGGCACACAGTGCCTCTGTTGAGCATCAATTTCAGAAATCCAATCCTCAAGCACAAGCGCATTTTTATTCCATCCAGAGCCAGCTTCGTTCCACGTATTGTCTTTACGAACTTCCGAATCTGTAAAGAGTTGCATATAGCTCTTGTCAGAAGGGACGGGTGGAGAACGCGGACGTTCCGCGGGCTCCCTGATACCTCGTTCCATTAGCTCTTCGTATCCCAACAAGAAAAGTCCTACCGAACATTGATCCCCTTGACTCATAGCCCGGGGCAAAAGTGCGGAAAAGGCAGCCGGAAACCATCTCTTTTGTTCATCCGTTTAGGCTTGACTTTCTGGAGGAAGGTAACCTTACGGTGCTCATCATGAGATTGGAGTCCAGCTCTACCTACAGACAGGCGTGATTCTTACCCGCTCGCAAATCGTCTTCCCCAAGTCGAGCTCAAAGTCGGCGACCGTGAGCGCTTGGGTGAGCCCGGTCAACAGATCCGTCGTGCCGGAAGTGGCCGCCGTCAGATTTTGAACCGCCGCATCCAGCGCCATGATGGCTTCGTCCCCTCTGTTTACCCGGGGAACGTTGAAAGTTGTAACCTGGGCCTGGAAGCAGGGGAACGGTGGGGTTCGACACCGGAACAGCACACCGAATTATATCAGACCCGGTTAGCGCGTCGTTCGGGCAACTTACGTCCGGACAACATGGATCCAATCTACTCGACCCTTCACAAAAACTGATCAAGTGCGATTCTTTTGAAAGCGCATTTTCCGCGACTTTTCGTACTAAGTTCTGGATGAGTCTGCTGCCTTGTAAGGAACTTCTTGCAAAGACGACAACTGTGGCAGCAAAGTGCTGCAGTAGCTGGAGAAAGGCTCTCTGGTGGGTCGAAGTACCAAAGACGACTTGAGGAGTCGACTCGGTTGTCCTTACGTGACGGGTTCACACAGGTTTCCGAAACCATAGAAACGGATCATGACGGCCCCGCGTTCTGCTCTGGCAAAAGGAGCAATTACTTTAATACGTGCTACGAACGTGTCAATCTCCCAGGCAACAAAGCATGAACGTCGCACAGCGGATGCAAGGCAAAGCGATAACCTGATGAAGCATCCACCTCGATTTATAGAGACAGGACGTGGCTCTGATTCCGCGCCGTCTCTTTCATGAAGGATTACTCCGCCGTTCGACTGTGTAAACAGCGGAGGGGCTTCACCAGACTTTGAACTTTGAACCCCATCACATGAGCACTCTCAACGAAGCACACCGAAAGCTGTTCGCAGAATTACTTTTTACGGAAACCCTTTCAAGTTTCGGGACGGACACCGCTACCCGTTGACTGGTGAAAGTATTGGCCATGTTGCCAAGCACCGCAGTCAATCTGCTCCCACCACGCACAGCTATGGGGCTACGAGATCCGCACAAGGGTTTGACCCGGGCGGAAAGCGCTGCGGACGACTCACAAACTGTCCGTATGCTGTCGTCAGCACCTGGGGCCCCGTCGAGTTGGAAACCGTCACCACGGCGACCACGTCAAAGGCTCTCAGAGACTCGAACAGCGCCGAGACGGTCGCCTGCATCGCAGCCAGCTTCGTGACGCCGGCAGCCGTGCCGAAGGCGACCGGCGAATTCACAAAGGGCCCCAGGTCCAGCAGAAGAACGAGCAGCTTGGTCTGGGAGGCCGCACCAGCGAACCTGATTCGTGTAGGAAAGGAGGCGGGTTAGTCTGGTAACTGACGAGTGACTTAACAGTTGAGTGACTTAAGAAAGGCGCCCGGGGGACGGGTGGGGTTAGCCTGGTGGTTAGGGTGGGTTCGGGTGCGGAGCAGGTGATTGTTGGGTTAGGTTTTTAGTTTGCTTGTTCGGAGTTCGTAAATTTGAAGTTACTCACCCTTAAGTCACTCCGGAGTTGCCAGTATCGGCGAGTTGACTCATCTGCCAAATCTGAGCCCGTACTGAAAGTTAGGGGTGTTCCAGTGAGCTTCATGCACCATCAGTTGCGACTTTCCGTTGCGATGGCAAACAGGAAAGAGTGGCGCATCTCCATTCACCGCAAGGACTCACAAGTACTCAGCATTGTGGGGTCTTGGGCTTCACCATCTGCTTCCAAAACTTATAAGATAACAAGTTTTTCAAATGTTGGACAAAACTAGAAAGCACAAGACGTCAGCGGCGTGTGGAAGTCGTTAAACTTTGAGCTCCGATTGATAGCGAAGTCCAAGAAGTCGCGCACTTAGGGCAGCGCACAGGCCAGGGCAGAGGTCGGCCTTTTAAAGCGGAGGAAAGCTTTATTTGATACAAAAGTCCTTGATGCAGTCCCAACGATTTGTACTACCCCACAAATCGAAACAGGCGAGCTACATACGAAGTCTACAGCCACAGATACGCAGCCGACCCGGAAAAATCAGGAAAATCAACCAAGGCCAGTATTGTCGACAATTCCGCCGCTGATGATTTGGTTTCAGGTCTACAGAGAGAACCTAAAACCCAGGTTGTGGCTGGAACGTGACATCCAACAAGGCATGGGCGAATCACGTTCGGGAGACGTCGCCACTTTGCCCGCTTGCAGCTTCTTGACAGCGAACTTTATTTCAGTGACAGACCAAAGGGTTCATGAGACGCTCTTCACTTTGACCTCTCTCAGAATACTGGTCGAACTGGCTTATAACACGGCTTGATTGTGAGCTGAAGCAAGTGAGACACTCTTTTCAAGTATGAGATCCGGTTCGAACTCCGCAGAGCTACCAAGAAAGCGGAGAGTGTTTCAGTGATTTACCAAGGCCGTCTTCGTGGGTCGTAGCTCGGAGTGCACTGCACTCCACTGCCATCGGCAAGTGCGAACTGATCGTAAGCCTGCAAGACAGATCACAGTCTTTATAAAAGTTCCACATATTGACTTTGCTCAATGGGCAGCACTCAGCGCTGTCATTACTATCAAGAGTTCTGTATCGCAACTGGCTACGAGCTACAAGTTGCAGATATGAAGAAATTTGTCCGGATGGCTGGGATGAGTAAGAAATGATTCAGAAGCCAGCTGCCGGATTGCTTGACCAGCAACGTATAAGTTCCCTTTCTGGAGAAACAGACAGCCGGATAACATCAACCGGATTGTCACTGACTGAATTTTACCAACAATCTCAAGACACGTTCCACCAGATTCCTGAAATTTTACCGACAATCTCAAGACACGTTCCACCAGATTCCTGAAACTTTTGACAACTTGAGCTCCATCACCGGCAATATCCTTCACACAGAAGTGTGTCAAAACTTGGCGGCTACAAACACAAGATTCAAGCTTGAGAATTGCTAATATGTCGCAAATTCGCAGGAACTGATTCGTCCTCTGACGGATCATACGGAACGTGCCTTACCACAGCGGGGAAGATGCGCATCACTCCTGATGCGCTGCCATAAAAGGCAAAGTCCGGAAAGTCACTGGCCAAGGGTTGAGGAACGACGGTCTTGTATCTGTTGTCTAGTGGTTTCTGGACACAGATGTCTCTCTGCAGGTAATTGGTACGCAGGCGGGCGTTCACGGCGCCTGGATTCGGGGCAGGGGCTTTCTTCACACCAACCCCATTAGGTAACCTACAAAAGAATGTAGTGGGCTGGCCAGGTGTCAAAAGGAACCAAAATCTTAACGAAAGGTATTGGCCATTCCAAATTTTTGATTGTGAAACACACGGTCATCAAGGGCCCATGAATTTCCTTTAGGCAATGGCTGCCCCAGCCCGATTGAAAGGACTAGTGGCATCCAAGGAACAGCTTCACAGACAAGGATTAGGCCCGTTCCTTGGACAGCGGCAGCTTCTTGCACGAGCTTTCTACAGTTAATAGGAGAGGTAGAAGGACGGTCTTGAACCAAAGGCAACAATGGACTTTCTGGTATTCTGTCATCTGAAGGCTTTTCATGCCAACAACTGTGCTCTTGTAGGCCTAGGTCCTGTGCACACTCTGAGAAAAGGACAACTGCCCCCACAGACTGCTTGTCCCAACACTATGCAGAAAATCAAAGTTGGGATAGATTTTGGTCTCACCTAATGTTGGATTGTTCGTAAGAAAACAAAAGGTTGCTGCATGTCGCATTGTTGCAGGCCGGTTGTGACCCTTGCCCAATGTTGAAGCAGGCGGTTGTCATGGAAGAAACAGGTGCGAGAGTGCAAGCAAGGGCTGAGACATTTGAACCGCATGCCGCGATTGCCGCTGCAGACAAGATTGGCAAAACTTGGTCAGATACAAAAGATCTATCATAAATCTAGCTATTTGATCTGCAAATGGCTTCTTGATTATGAGACGGAAGCCTAAAACTGTACCTTACCTTGTCCAGCTGTGATGTTGGATTCGTGGAGTTCTTCCAGGAAAATAACCCTACAACTGGCCCCCACGCCGTGTCTGGAATACTCTAAGCTTTAATATTTTTCGATGTGTCACAAGCAACTCAGCATTTTACCATGAACAGTGAACAAATATCCTTGAAAAGTAAGAATCAAGTTATCTTGTCTCTTAGAGCAATTGCTTCCGAGGATTCTATCGCAGCCAGCGCAGGACCAAAGGGTAGCAATGACCTACTTTTTCGGATTGTAAAGTGTGTGTATTAGTGGGATTCAATAGGAACACACCTGGATGCTTGGTTGCAATGCACAAACAGAGCGGAAGCACATGCTCGCCAACGTCAAATAGGTCTCATGGCTGGCATTGCTCTGAATAGTTGTCAAACCCCGCACACAGCATTATACCCTGTTCTCTTTCTGGCAATTTTAGAAATGGTGCCTCGAGCAGATCCCATGGGAGAACTGATGCTCAAGGCGCTTGCTCTCTAGCAGCAGCCTTCACAGCGATGAATACTCTGGATATGTTGGATTTCCCACAAGAATACAAGAGTCTATACTTAGAATACCAAGGTGGCCAACTCTGGAGTGGATCAATGGGCAAACTTACCACACGCATTCTCCTCATTGACAGCTGCGCTGATTGCCCCTTGCACCGCAATCTGCTCCTTCTGTGCCATCACATTTGCAATGCTGCTGCCCGATGCTTGACTCCGTGCGCCAGGCCATGCCGCACTCAGGAACACGACTACAAAGCTGGCTGTCAAAGTGAAGTGCATTTTAGGAGCAGCAACACAAAGTGGGACCACACAGAGATTGCGAAAGATGCTCGGGCCTGGAGGAAACAATATCTGACCGCCTTTAAGAATCGTTGCAGCTGGAAGGCGCTTGCCTTGGTGATTGTTCGCACCAAATCCAATTGAGCTAGGGTCAAGGCAAATGGATGTTTGGGTACCTACTTCTTTTCCAAGGCCGTAGCGTGAGCCATGGACCTAATCATGCAGGGGGAACCCCCAACTACCTAGGTAAACCTAGGCAACCCTCTGAAGCTTACGCCGATGGTAGGTACCTATTGTTACCTTCTACTGTAGGCTACCACAGTAGGTAGGTAGGTACCGGTACCGGTATGGCGGCGTAGGCCATGATGTCGTTACTAGGTAGGTACCGTACTCCAAACTTGGCCAAGCAGCATGTGACATGGTCCCGGTACCTACGGAGTCACGAGTGGCTTTGGCCGGACTGTACAGCGTACAACATCATAGGTACCGTACCGTACGGTGCAGAAAGTGCTGAACAAAGGTACCAGACTCCAGTGTCCAGACTCGTGCTCAAAAGCGCACGGACGGTGACGGAAGTTGGAACGTAGGTACACCGTACCGTTACGTAAGTCTGCAAGTCTCAGATCCGACGTCATCGATATCAAGCAAAAGCGATTATCTGTGCATGGCCAGCCTAACCACATACCAAAACCCTATGGTGAACTGAGGTCAGTCACAGGCTAGTGACAAACCCTATGGCGTTCCGCCAAGGGTCCGCCTTGACCCACCGTAAACGGCCATACTAACCCCACCAAGATCAGTACAACCCGAAACTGGCCGAGGCTTCTTCGGGCACCGAGTCTCATCTACCGGGTAGTAAGCGCCCGGTTCAGAATACGGACACGACGTTGGAGTTTCGCCGTCGACAAGCGGTGCCAAGTTCCAACCTACAGTACCGCTGTCCGGACCGCCTAGCCGGAAGTTGAGACTTGCAAAGTCACGAACAGGATAGGTACTGTTTTGACAAGATGAAGGCTTGCCTTTCTTTCAAACCTGTCTATGGCAGGCGTTTCGAAGCTCACAGAGCTCTGCGTTGGTTCCTTCGCTGATTCAAAACCCAGCTCCACCATCTCGTGCAACATTCTGCCATAGAATCTGGATATGGCAGGTCATGCAGTGGGCGCCGCGCTCAGTCTTGCAAAGAAGCTCTATGCAGCTATTCAGACTGTACCCCAGCTTCGAAGGCAGTGTGCCAACCTTGAGGAGGTGGTTCTCTCCTTGGAGGCGGTCATTGAGGACCTTGCCAATGCAGAAGATGATCCCAATGTGCAGGACCTCTTAGGAAAGTTGCAGGATGCACTTCAAGAAGGCCTGGACATTGTGCAGCAGGGGGAAGGGAAGGGGCTCCACGATTGGGCACGCCTTGTTTTCCAGGGAGAAAATGTGGCAAGGAAATTGGCTGCTGTTTCGGGCCGCATAGAGCTGGGCCTAACTAGCCTGCTTCCTGGGATGAAGGGTCAAATGGGGAAGATTAATAAGGATGTGGCTGAAGTAAATGCACAACTCAGGGAGTTGAAGGAGCAACTGAACAGGATTGCTGAGGCTATTGACGAGAACAGGGCTGAGATATCTGATCGGGTGAGCAACAGAGCTTTTGGTGCTTTCAACAATGGAAGGTACTCTGCTGAATTGCCAGAATCCTCTTTCTAAGTATCAAACTAGGGTTTCATTTCATTCCAATTGCTGTAGGAGCCACGCAAACCAAGCCAGATAGATCCATGCCACTTCGCGTTGAATCTTTTTCAGTTCCACCCAAAGTTGGACCAAGCCATAGGATTATGCTGCATATCCCAAGTTGCCAGGTGATGGCACCCTACAAGGTGTTGGTTTGGTTCTCAAAGCTCATGGCAGCCTATCACTCAGATGCAGTGGCTCAATTGCACAGCAGGCTGGTCATCATCCTGGTTCACTGAACGTACAGGCTCAGTAGGTGCCGCCAGTCAGCGGGAAATCAAAAATATTGCATATTACCTAGCCCTCCAGTGCCGTTTGCATGCTTCAAGTAATCCGCTGGGAAGTATCCAGATTCGTATATTTCTGTCCAAGATCTATATTCCATCATCTTATTGGCGCAAGCTTGATACCTGAGCAAGCACATAAGAGAGTTCACCGATCTTCACTTTTTCATTGGTCAGGTTCGCAAAGTTGCTGAGAGGGGCGCCAGCAGCATCGGCGCTCAGCATAATGAGGAGCGCATCATTGAGCTCCTTGCAGGGAGCAGCATGGGGACGGTCAGCATGGTCGGTTTGGAAAAGGAATGGAAAAATTTCCGAAGTGAGGCCATGCTGGGACCAGACCAAAAACAAGTTTGGCTGTCAGATGCAGACATGCTGATAGAGGATATCATGTTCAGGCATTTGTTGGACATGGAAAAGCTGCTTAAAGCGACAGAGAAGACGGAGCAAGAGAGCATGCGGTTGAAGGAGGAGTCCAAAATGGCAGCGAAGAATGCTGCAGAGAATGAGAAACTGAGGAGAAGCTTGGCGCAAGTCAGCAATGAGTTGAAGGCCGCAACGGAAAGCCCAGGTACCTCTCAGGAGGCACTCAAGGTGAGGCGCTTCTATCCAGGCACTCTTGAAAATGTTATTGGGAATTTTTGTATAGAGGGCCAAGACGTGCCAAGGCTTCTAAAGGGGCTAACAAACCTGCTTTTGGTGCAAGGATGCCGGGGGGTAGTGTCCACATAAATCTGACTTGCATCTAGCTCTGTCTTGCGGTTGGCGTCCCTTACTATGGGTCACCAACTTCTGACAGGATCTTCAAGTACTGACTGGCACAGGACGAGCAGATTTATCAACAGCAAGCGACAAGAAGCACTCCCTGAAGATGTCTGCCTTTCATGTATGAAGCTTATCTTTCGTCATCGTTACAAGCATTCAAGTGTTGCCTTCGAAGAGCAGATTCTGCCAAGCAATTAGGACCCGCTAGATCATTTCAAGTACACTTCCTGGGTTGGATAGTCAGTTGTTGGGAGGTTGATGCACCTCTAATTCTTAATGACTCTAATGACTCTCCTTTCACTCCTGATCCCTGATCCCTTGCCATGCAGGACGCTAATGTGGAGATTAACCGTGGCATGCCGGCCCACATCTTGGAAAGGATGCTGAACGAGTTGCACGCCAAAGCAGGCCTGGCAAAGGAGAGCACGAAGTCTGATCATGAAAAGGCGGACCATCTGTACCCTAGGAGCTTTACGTGCCGCATCTGCTCCTGCACGCTTGAGGACCCAGTCGTTGTGGAGACGGGGTACTCGTTCTGCCAGAAGTGCCTTGAACAGCATCTGCAAAGTGACACTCCTACGTGCCCAATCACAAGGAGGCCCATGAACACCAGGTGAGAATTTGTGCTTGTGTATGCCGAGCTTTTGCAGTCTTCCATCTGTTGCCTCCCTTCAAGCGCTGCCCTTTTCAGTTGAGTATCAGATGTTCTAGCTTTTCTTAAAATGGCACTTCATTCTTTTCGTTTCATAAGCTCGATTAGTTAGGCAATAGGTTGAAGGCTGGGAGGCTGACCCTACAGGAAGTCTGATTCAAGTTCTGATTGTATGTGCTACTTGCTTTTCATCCAGTCACCACCACCATTCCAGGAATCAAATGCCCCCATACACTGCTCTCATGTGTCAGATTCCACAGCTTCATTGATGCGAGCCTCTCTGTGTTTTTGCAGCATTGTCATTAAAAACATCGACCTCCAACTTGCGATCACCAACTGGTGGGAGTGGCTGAGCGACTGGATCGGTCGTGAGCGCGCCTTGCTCTCATCTTTGAGGCCCTCCGACCCCCCTCGCTCCAATACCTCGTCCCCTCGTCATGAGAGGCATATCAACGGTCTTGTTGACGAGGATGCATCCAGCGCAGTCGATGCGGAGGTCACGAAGGACCACGATGTCGTGAGTGCGCTGTCAAACCTCTCGTTGGACGACGGGCTGAATGCGAAGGTGGCAATCGGAGCGGCGCAACTGACCAACCTCCTTCAGGCCCACCCGCAAAAGTGGAAGCAGATGTGTGGTGCTCAGGCGATTAAAGTAAGTAGACCTAAGCTGGCGCTTGAGTAAGCTTGGAACTAGCCTGACAGCACAAGCTCCTTTGAAGCATCTTTGTCCATGAGGGCCCGGTCGTCTTAGCATGGAGTAACAACATACTTGTGTTACATAGTAGAAATCCGGACAGATACACCGTCATTGTCGAATGTCTGGTCTTGGCTTGGACCGAGCACGATGGAAAATTGGATTATGATTTCTTTGGACAACTCCCTTCGTTCGTCAGGAACATTGGCTTCAAGAAAGGTCTTTGAAGCTATGTAACAACTGCATCCTGCTGGAACTCGACCAGGCAATTTATACCTTTGATAGATTTGCTCCATACTTCGTCAGCCTCTAGCTTCTCTTTTCTCAAAGTATTGATGAACACTCGTAACTTCCAGGAATGATTGCATCAGCCTTGAGCTCCCATTAAATCAAGTTTGAGACACTGATCTGTCTTGTTTCTTGATGAGCATCCAATTTTTACCTTGCAACGGGCTGACTTGTGAGCTTGTATTCATCCGCAGCCTCTGGTTCGCATCCTCCGCATGAAAGGCCAGGTCCGGCTTTTCGGGATAACGGCCCTAGAAGCTATGATGGCGGTTGCAGTGCGAGAAGCGTACGAGAACAACAATGAAGAAGCAGAAAAAGTAAGTACTGAGGGACTTTTGGACAATTCCCCTAGTGGAGTTGATTGTCAGATCTGCGGTCCCCAAGAGGTTCTGGTTCGGAGTATCCTTTCAAAAGGAATTTCAAAGCTGCGAGGTCATTGTACCAAGCGATTTGATTGTGCCTCTTCGTATGGCGATCCTTGCAGCATCCAGCGAAGTCTCTTCATTTGCAACCCAAGAAACCCTTTTCGAATTCCTGGGGAGACCTCCTTGAAAATTCCGTACGTTCTCATCTACTTAATTGTTGCTCCATGACGCACTTAATCCAAGTCCATTCTGCAGCTCGTCCGGTTCCTGCCTAGGCGTGTGAGCTCCAGCCAGTCATCTCTGTCGTCATCTTCGTTGGTTCTCCCAATCTGCAACAACTGTTTCTGCTTGACAGGCCTGCGGAGAAATCATCGACGAGGCACGCGACAGCTTGCTTGAGCTTCTGTCAGACGAGAGCCCTGCCGTCAGAGCCAAGGCCGCAGAGACAATTGGACACTGTTTGGAAGTGCAGACGGTCGCGGTCCTGCTGGCAAAGCAAGAGAGACCGGGGCTGATCACCGGGCTCATGCATCTAAGCTTCGCAGAGGTGAGCACGTCCAAAGCAGCAGGTATGGTAATCTTTAACCTCATTGACAGCACTGGGTTGTCAAGCCGCTACAACTACTTATGTTATCAGTTCCGATTTGGAGATTGCTCTTGCCTACCAGGAACAAGCGAAGAGACGAAAGATCGCCTTAGCCTACAGGAAGATTCATTCTGAAGTTCGTGCTTGACGCTTCCTCCGAAACCTCTAGGTTGGATCATCTACTTTGCGTCAAGATTCTTTTTATTCTTCCCATGAACCGTACGTCGAACGATGCCACTAAACGGAGCCAAACCCATAACAATCAAATGTGTCCCCATTGGAGATCAAACAGTCGACGTTAGCATTGATTCTGGCCACCGGCCGACTGGTCAAAGTTGGGTGCGAATGAAACGGCTTTTGCACCTGATCATCGATCCGTAACTCACAATTGGTGGCCTTTCGTCTAAGGAGCGAAGTCGTGAGCGTCTGAAATTTACTAGGACGCGCTACTTGCTTGTGTAGTGCCTTCGTCCAGCATATCATATCCAACTTGTTCTGGAAGTTATAGAATGTGCGAAACTGGCCATGCAGATTTGCAGTTGGGTATGAATCTTTTCGAAGAAATACGAATTATGAGTAACTTGTACCTTTGTTGTACCTAGGCCTCACGAAATCTAGCCGTGTCTCAAACTTTAAGTTTGCCAAAGGGCTGCCTATCAACTGACCACGATCTTAGAATCCGCTCGACAGTCCCCAAAGTGTCTCTGGCCTGCATCGAGCGTTGCCTCAAGATCCAGCTTCTGCTTGTGCAGGATCTGCACGAGATGATGCACGGAGTCCACGGCCCAGCCACGATCGAAAGCGTGCGCGGCATCGGCCGCCGCGTGCTTTGCCAGCTGGCAAGAGTCGTCGTCACCAACCAGGCGCAGAGCGCCAAGCCAGCCACGGACCCCGCACCCGAGGACGTCGTCGATTGCCTCTGGAAGCTCGTCCACGACCCCTTCACGACGATCGAGGCTTTGCACATGCTCACGCGGCTCGCTCGCGGGGGCGCGTCCGGCCTTTCCGCGCCGTCGGTTGCGGAGGGCGCGCATGCAAGGACGGCTCTTCTCACGTACCTGTTGGGGCAGGCCGAGAGCAATAAGCCGCTCAGATTGCCTCTGGCGGAGTTCCTCTCCGGTTTGGCGGCGACCACGAGCAAGCCGGGTGACCTGCTTGAGACCGGGGGAGTCGACAAACTGTTGCGCCTCCTCCAAGTTTCCGTGAAGGAGATTGAAGCTGAACCGGGGGTTGCGGAAGGCTGGGCTTGCTTGTCATTCTTGGTGGATGTCCTCGCAACAACCTCTATGGGGGAAGGGGAAGGGGAGGAGGAGACGCAAGTGAGGTCGGCCGTTGAGAGACGGGATCTGTCGGTGGCAACTCTTCTGGAGCTATTGAAACTCACGATACAACAGTTCGTCCCAAGAGCACGCTTCTTCGATCTCAGCTCTTCGCTTCAAGACTCCGTCCAAACTTTTCAAAGCTCCGCACTGCGTTGTGTCGGACTCCTCTCGGTTAGCGAGCCATTTTCGCGCTATTTCATCGAAGAGGGAGGAGTCGAGCTCATTTCCCAGGTCCTCGAGGCGGTCCGCTCGGCCGGCTTGCGCACCCGAGACTGCGCAAAGGCGCTCGCAGGGCTCATGGTGGCGTGCCCGGTAAAAGCGGAGGCGGCGCTCAAAAACTCCGTTGCGCTTCTGGGACTGTGCAAGATTCTAGACGGGGGGAAGGGAGACGAGCGACTCGCGGCCCTGGACGTCTTGAAATGGGTTGAGTCGACCACTAGCGTGGCTGAAAATCTGGAGCCGGCGTGGCTTTGTCCAGTAGGAGAGGAGTCGGCCAAGTGCCGGGCAGCCGGCGCGAAACTCTTTGACAAGCTTTCGAGTAGCTGGGGTGACCGGGTGAGAGTCCGAGTTTTGTGCCATTTTCCCAGCCCGCTTCGTTTTATCCATGCTTCGTGCGTCAGACCCGCGTCAGAAAGTTGCATGATTCTCGCATATTTGTCCTTCGGCATTGATAGCTTTTTTGCGCTGATCTTGCACGCACTTCAGAATAATTTGGTGCCGCGCCCTGGCCAATCCCGTCCTTGGTAGGCAGGAACATCGGTTCTCCTCTTCGATCACGGATGCCTTCTTGTGGGGCCTATTCTTAGATGTACCGATAGTGGATTGTTGGAAACTTCGTTCCGAGCGTGTTGGATTAAGATATGGAGCGTAGGCTAATAATTGCGGCCATCTCGATGACCGACTTGGCGGTTGCGTAGCAGGCTCTTTGACGTTTCTCGAACTGTCGTAGTCTCCTTTCAATCGGTGGTCTTAAGCCCTCTTCCGTTCTGGTCGGCGTGCACCGTTCCCCGTTCATCTCGTACATGTACCAAATTATCGGATCTTGTATCATACCAGACAAGCTGACTGAGCATGTGGTTTCTGCTGCAGGACACAGATGCGATCAGTGCAGCTCTTGACTTCCTCGCGGACGCCCACAAGCGCGGTCTTAGAGGCGGTCCCGCGGCGCACAGCGTTTTGCAAGCGGTCAAAACTCTCACCACCAACGTGCAAAACTGCACCGCGTTGTTGGGCGACGAGCACGGGGTAGACGTCCTTGTTCAGGTCGCCAAGCGATTGAAGATTCCAACGGCCCAGATCATGATGCAGATCTGTGAGCGCATCCCGGACACTGCGGCTGCGGACAGCAGATTCGTGGCGGCCCTTGTAAGCTTGTTGGACGATCCGGACGCTCGGAGCTTGGCCGCAGTCGCGCTGGACAAGCTAGCGTCCAGCGCTGCCAGTCTGGGAGGTCTGGCGGGGGGCAGAAACGAGCACGTCACAGTGCTGCTGAAGGCTGTTCCGCTAGCGAGGGCGGAAGACAAGGTCGTGTTGGTGCGCGTTCTCTGGCGGCTGTGCAAAGCGATCGGGGCGGCTGTTGCTGAGGCGGTTGTGAGCGGCGAGGGGGTAAAGATCATGTTCACGGCAGCGGGGACGCTGGAGGCGAGCGGGCGAACCGGAGACGCCGTGGTAAGTCGACCTTGGATCAGACCTTGAAAAACTGAATGCGTTTCTTGATCCTGTCCTTTTGTTGGTTCGTTCGGGTCTGTTGCCCTTTCTTTTGGTTGCCCGCCTGTGGGCTAGCCAGAAGGTTGTTGGCCGAGAGATTGCCGGCCTCATAATGAACGTTCGCTTAATCGTTCAATCGCTCAAACGCTCTCTGAGCGGATTGGACGAGAGTTTGAGAGGGGCATAACGTACAGTCTCGCGACACATGTAAGAGGGAAAGGCTAGGATGCGGCTCAATTATGCAGCCGGTGAGTTTGAGAACAATCGGAATAACAAGACACTTAATTCGGGAATGCTTCGAGCCCCTTCCGTTTTCGGAACTTTCGAATCCTTCTTCTTGGGTGATCTCCTTTTGTCGTCTCTTCTTCCGGATTGGGTATTCTTGCACATGTCCTGAAGCTGGACATGCTTTACTTGGGATAGAAGTCATCACACACTCACCTTTTGGCTTGAAACCCAGAAAGACCGTGTTGACGAGTCGTACAGATGTGTCTTACCCTCTTTGCGCATATTTTTTGGCCGACAGTTCGAGAATGCTCCTTACCAAAGCCAGGAACAAGCGGACATCTGGACCCGTCCAGTCATGATTACGTGAAGGCGAGCACCTTCCTCAAGGATGCAAGTCGGCAAGACCGAAGTCAAACTTGCTCCCTTCACCCTTTGCAGGCATGTCTCGTGGCGATTTACAACCTGAAGGTCCCGTCGACGGACCTGGGCAGAGATATTGTCGCCGCCGGCGCCACCACTTTTCTGGTCAACCTTTTGGAAGCCAGCGTCGACAGAAGTGTAGAGGATAGGACCGTGCGTTACGCTATGTACTTCCTGGGGTGCGCTGCAGATGCGGACCCGGACGCCTGCATAGACGCAGGACTCGTGAGGGCACTCGGGACGTACCTGGAGATAACGAAGGGGAAGGAACAGTGCACCCTTGTGGGGATAGGTGAGAAAGGGAAGATTTTGGCGCATGCTTTTGCCTCTTCCAAGAGCTCCAACAAACATGCACTCTCTTCTACTCAGAAAAACGAACTGAAGCAGGGCAGCCTTGGGCTGCGGCTCTTTGAAGTAGATTGAGCAACTTTCGGCTTTCTCAAAAATCAAAGTAATCCCTTTCTTTTGCAGTCAATGCAAGAGATTTGGGTAGATCAATTCTTACTCGGAACAGGATGTCCGAGAGACTCATGTTGAGGGAAAGAGAAGTGCGGCAATAGAAACATAAGTGAAGTGATAGACTTGAATGTAAACCTGAGCATTGCAAGCCCAAAGAAGAAAGAGATTCTCTGGACAAAATGATGAAGAAAGAGCGGAAGTCGACATGTTAGCCGCAATGGAACAGCAATAAGAATCTTTCCTGGTGATTGTTCGTTTCGTTTAATCCAGCTAGTGAGCACTTGAAGCTCCTTTTCAATGCAGAACTGATCGCTGCCCTTGTAAGCAGTGAGCGTGCCAAGACGGCTATTGTCAAAACTAGCGCAGCGGCGCACTGTGCGGACTTGATGAAAGGAGGCAAGCGGTGCCGGGCGAAAGCGCCGAACAGCCCGTGCGAAGGGGTCTGTGTTGCCGAGGCCACACGGTTAACGGAAGAGCTTGCAAGACCGAGAAGCAAGGTGCTTTTCTTGACTCTTTGAATTCCAAGACTTTGTTTTTTCTGCGACCTCCTTGCTTACTTGCAGCTAGTGGAGAGTAAGGTCCAAAGTTGAAAGCCTCTCGAGAAGCTCCTAATTCGCAGCTTTCTTGATGGGTTGTCCTGGATTACTTGCCGACTTTCGTATTTGGGCACTCGGAAAGCGAAGGACCGAGACCTTGGGCTGTGTGCCGACATGGACGCGTTCACTGCAATGGATTAGGAGAAGCGCAGTTACTTCCAGAAGCTTGGTAGCCAAAGCGTTAAAAATTATAGAAAAGTACTTAGCTATTTGGTTTTTTTTTGCAGTCCTCGTGGCGCGGCACACTCGGACGAGTCAGCTCCACGTCTTAGGGCCTACCATGCAAAAGTCTGGCGGGATTAGCCATGCCGGATATCTGCAGGCGATTATTGGGTCGAGCTTCACGAGGAACTCTCAAAGCATCGTCGTCAAGTAGCTTTATTTGACAGTCACATCAATCATATATCTATTCTTGTGTGTCCATTGAAGGCGTCAAGGTTACAATCAGTAATAAGGATAAAGGAAGGTAGCAAGCTCTAGTTGTACATGATAAAAGGAGATTACGTATTGCCGTGCACTAACTATTGACTAGCCGCTTTCAGGTTCTAGTTGGGCGGTCTAGGATTGTGGATAGGCTAACTGCGAAGAAGTTGATAGGATAGAGAACTTCAGAGCCGATGAAAACAGCTTCAGGCTAAGTTTTGGCTTATTGGCAGTAAACTCGTGTATACGCTGACCGCTCAAGTCGCTCATGATGCACGCTGTGCAAAAAAGAGACATGTCACTTCCGTACACTTGCCAGCCAGAAGACGATCATGTCCGCACATGACGTGTTCCAAATTTCAAAGTCGCTGTTAAAGCCCATGCACACATGTATACTCATGAGCGTTCAGCTCATTCTGGACCATCGTTTGAAGTGTGTCGCGAATCTGATGCACATGGAGCTGTGCATATACATCCTCTTACATGTACAAGAGTATGTATTGCATCAACCATTGCGTACGTCGCAAATTCCACGAATATGACTCATTGATCGAGGACATGGGCATGAGCCGCGTGGTTTTGATCAGCTCTCCCATGATTCAAGTTGAAGTATCGGGCATTTTTATTAATGCACAGAATTTGGCCGGACGCTATGATTCATAACTGGATATAGCTGAACTTCTATGGCGTCTGTGTCGAATCATGTTTTGGGGGAATGAAAGGAGGCAGTTTCCGCGTCGGACGGCCGGCAATCTTGAGGGGATTCTGGCCCTTTGATGTCCACTCGCATGTGTATTTTTCTGATGGGACATGGAGTTATGGTGACGCGGCCATCTTATACATTCAAGCCTGTCAGCTGTGACATGTGATGCATGTCACAGCTGAAGGGCAGATTGAATGCAATTGTACGGTCGCTGTTACTTCTGCACGTTGACAAGCCACTGGAGAAAGATTCAAGCGAGGAGCGACCTTCCTTCTGTTTGACTCAAGCCTGCGGGCTTTATAGCAATCGAGGATAGCTTCATCACACTCTGCTAGAATCCATTTTAGAAAAGCCGCCCCGGGCGCACAGTGTCTCTTCTTATAGCCTGGCCTTGATTCATGCCAACCGGGCCCCCCAGAACTCTCAGACCCCTTAACCAGGCCGTACGTAACTAGAAGATTTTCAAGTGATAGTGCTCGGCTGCCCGCGCGCCCAGACAATCGAGTCAGCTCGCTCTCGGTGTACCAGAAAAGAAGGTATTAATGCGGCTCACAGGCTGGTAGTGATGTTCAGCAAGACGCACAGACAATGGAAACAAAGTGGATAAGTCCCCGATAAGTCATGTAGGGTCGATGAAAGAGGACGTTTTTGAAGGATATCGCCAAGTCGACCGCCAGGTCCAAAACAAGGCTCCAAGGCCCAAAGTGCTTCGTCGGAATCGTCGAACAGGGGAATAGGCAGGCACTGCCGTATCGGGTCGTCTCTGCCCGATTGCTCGACAGGCCCTCAGGCCCCCTCAGATTTAACGCCAATCTTTGCTGGTCCCATTTTTGTCTTCCTAGAACAGTCGAGACTGCGCCCTTGAGTAAAGCTTCGGCCAATGCAAAGCGTCCTTCACGCATGCTCTGGTGCTTTCAAAATCGGGCTATCTGCCTGTTGCGGTGGCAGCTCATTGAAGCTGGGAGGGGAATTGCGTTCTTGCAGGGGCTTGGGCAGCTTCAGTTCAACAATTTTGTGCAACTTCTCTCGGCTGCATAATTATTAAGGTGGAACGGTGCCTCCGACCGCTCTTGACTTCTCGAGACGAACCTTGCAGGACTGGAGTACTTTGGTTGGAGGACTGGAAAACGCCCGCGCCGACACCGGAATGGCCAGACGATTCCGTGTCGAATTCCTACGTCCACGTTGCCTGAAAGAAACTATGGCACGCGCGGACGACGTGCCGCCAGCTTTTCGAAGAGGCCCTGTCGAAAAAGGAACCGCCACGCTTTTCCGCAGCAAGGCGAGCCGAGTCGTGTCTCATCAGGGCCTGGCCGACCGTTCGAGCGCTTGCTTCTGTACCTTAACACCACTTCCGGAGCAGCCACTGTAAATCAGAGCACCGGTTTGAGCCCTCACCTCACGTCCGACAAGCGGAGTAGAAAGTCCCGAAATCTGCCCTGCCTACGTTCTCACCGGGTGTTTTGGTGCTAGTATTGAAGTTTGTGTTGAACAACAGTTCTCAAAGTGCAACTCATTCCAATTGCCGAAAACAACCAACGATCTCTGTGGAACTGTCGCTCACGCGCTGCCTAGGACGTTCAGTCCAAGCTTGCAGCGGTGCGACTCGACAGGCCAATCATGAGCACGGCCCTGCCAAAGAGCAGGAAGCGTTGCTCGCTATAAGTTGCCCCATGGATTCGTATGCGGTGTGATCGGATGGATGAGGCCGTCCTGGCAATCGGCAACGGAGTGCAGAAATTTGAATTGGCTGGGACGCAGCTAAGATTGGTGTCGCTGCCGTCGATGTTTTGATGTCAGCGCCGCTCCGCACTCGCTCTTGTCCGAGGGTATCGTCTTGATTGGCCAAAATTTGTGCGAAACTGTGCCCGAATGACATTGGCATTTCCTGCAGACTCATGAGGCTTCTCTATGAAGGTCGGACGGCAGCAAACCGTCTGTCGGGATCGCTGTTCGTGAGAGCAACGCCGACGCGGTGCCCGCCCATCTTCCGTCCGAGGACCACGTGATCATGAGGCTGCGAGTAGAAGGCAAACCTGGAGCCAGTATCCTAGATCAACGTTGACAGAGTGTTCATTGCAGACGATTGCCTTCGACTCTGGTCAGGAAACACAGGCCAGCGCTTTTGCTCGAAACAGCAGGATATGGACCTGACTCCGTTCTTGCGAGTCGCTGCGTCGAAGAAGCTCAGACAACGTGCGCTCATACAAAGAGACAGCCAAGACGCGGAATCCGTGACGGGGCTTACGGAACAGATAGTTACGTACGTTGGTCGTGAGCATGCCTGTGTCGCACTTTCGATCAATTGGAACCCGGCGAAGGGAGACAGAGTGCTGAGTACCGTTGAAAAAGAAGAAGGACCAACTCAAGCCGGCGCACGACAATAGCACGGCAGCTGGAGAACTCAAAGAATGCGGTTGAACCGTCGGGCGGAAGAGCAGGGACCAGCACGGAAACGGAACGAAGTTGACGCTGTCAGCGGGCCTGAAGTGCGCACATGGAGGAAGACGAGACGTCAGACCGGATTCTTGGGATCAAATCCGGGTTTGATTCGAGTGAAATTACCGGGCAGCGTTCGGCCACGGTGCTATTGAACGGTATTGACCAAGCAATGAGAGGGCAGAAAACAGGCGCGAGGACAAACGGCGAGAAGCAAGAAAACTTCAGACGAGAAGGCTGTTGTTCCGTTGCGCCTCGACTCAGTAACGGAAAATAGAAAAACGGATCTGAGATGCTCAAATACAAACCAATGAAAGAGGGGTGGGTGAGCTTTCTTCAGCGAGTACAATGGCGGAGAGGTGCCCCAGCCCCGAAATGAGCGAAAGGCAGGAAGATGCTCGAATGCCAGAGCGACGCGTGGCGTGCAGCGGAAAGAAGGACTCCTTCCGTGGAGGGAGGTAACCGGCGGATTGCCCGGAGTTGGTCCGAGCAGAAAGCTGTGTCAGAAGCGAATAGCAAAGAACTGTATCAGGCGCCAGCTAGGATGCAAAAGGAGGAAAACCAGGGTTAAAGACAGCGGGAAAAAGAGCCAAATACTGTAGATTGCAGCGGTGTCGTCCTGACTGCCAGTGGAAAAGCCCCGCCTTTGGCGAGAGCGCTGCTAGCCTTAAAGTAGAGGAGCGTCACACCAGAGTCAGCGATGATCAACCCCTCGGAGACCGTGTGAAACTTTATTTTTCACTTAATCATCGACAAAGACGTGTATGTTTAGCCCGATCAAAACTTCTTCCTTCTTTATCCACTTGCGGCGGGTGGGGCTGCAGAGCAAGAAGAAATTTCAATCATAATTGGTTCAAGATCACTTCGATTTCTATAAGCTAAAGGTGTAACAGGACAGTTTGCCTGGAACCGGTGGGGTTTGTAAGGTGGTCTATACTGAGCCCGGGTGCGGAGCGGGTTGAGGTAAGATTTGTGTTCCCTTCGTTCATTTTGTAACGTGGGCTTATTGGAATATACTCAAAGATAATACTCCAGTGGCGTGCCGGTTCCCAGAGCGTAGCGGCGGCGGCGAAGCGGCGGGTGCGGCAGCCGAGTGTCTGAAGTAGATAATTGTGCAAACTTGCAAAGAACAAGATGGGCATTCCCCCTGCTGCTGCTAGGGTTTGATCGGCAAAAAGCGAATTGTATTCACCAGACCTGGTGGACGCTTCCGGCCTTTGAAGTCGACCAACTGAGGGTCTTGAGCGATTTCGTCTGAATCCTTGTCAAAGACCGTAGCGTGCAACGCCCGGGCTCGGCTGATGCATCCTCTGAAAACTGAGAATCAACATGCTTTCCTTTCTTCATCGACTTTGGCCCCCCTTGCACTCGATCTTCGTCACAAAATCCAAGAGCTGCAGACTTCGCTGGATGTTTTGAGGACGTTCCCCATGCCGCCTTGGCTCGTGCTCTTGGATCTCAGACAAACTACTGAGATTGGCTTTTTTAATCGACTCGCCCACTGAAAGCGCTAGGCTCAGTCTTACTTCTAGAAGGAACCATCGTCTCCATGGGCTCCAACTGGATTTGGATGTAGGATAAGGTCAGGTGCTCAAGGGCAGAGCAGCAGGAGCTCCGATGGAAGTATGGAAGTACATAGGTATATAGTAGTTATGGATTATATCTTCTCACATACTCTCCCCAAACATTGGCGAGATGCCCGCCCCAGGACGACTCTGCGCAAAATGGTGACTCGAATGACATTCGGCTTCCACAAGCCCTGGAACCAATTAAAATTGAACCATGAGTGAAGTCGCCACATAGAACCGTGATCAGGACGGACGCGCTGTTCTCAGTGACGGACGCCGGACGGAGCGACGGCCGCCGGACGCAGCGGCGGACGGAAGGACGGAGCGGCGGACGGACGGACGGATGACCTCCGCATAAGATGTATTGTACGAAAGAGAACCCAAGACAAAGCCCTGTACCCGCCCTGTAGAACGCAGAAACGGTCTGAAGTCAGCGCAAAGCATTTCTTCGGGTCTAAGTGGTCCGGTTGTGATTCTTGTGGACGGTCCGAGTCATTGATAGGGGCCCGCTAATCTTGTCCACAGGGGAGATTCCAAGTCGGAATCGGTGCCCTTGTCGGCGGCGGAACCGGCGGAACTCCAGTTGATTTCTGAATATTTTTAGCATTTAATTAATTGCATGAATTGAAATTGACAGTTGAGATGAAGTCACTACGGTCGGCAGACTGACCGACCGCCGGACTGTGACTTTGGTGGCCGGTTAGCAGGGGGGTTAGGGTGGGTGAGGGTAAGCAGGGCGGAACGACTTAGGGTTAGGGTCATCATCTATCCTTAGGGTTTTATTTTGTTGTCACCTTCCAGTGACTTGGTGGGGAAAGCTTGGGGGTTAGGGTGGGTTCGGGTAGGTCCCGGCGGGACAACTTGGGGTTAGATCCTATTAACCCTTGGGTTTGCGGTAGTAGAAGTTAGTGGTCTAGCGGTCGGTCGGTCCGGCTGGTCCGGCCGGGGTGGGCCATCCCGCCGACACTCGCACTGGCCGGGCGCGGTATGTAGCGGTACTGGTAAGTTGAACCTTGAAAACTTCCCGGACCGACCGACCGGCGGACCGAGTCATGCAGTCCGGCGGTCGGTCGGTCCGCCTGGTCCGGCCGGGGTAGGCCAGCAGTGAAAAACTGGTCCGGTGGTCGGTCGGTCCGGGAACCGCAAAGACAATCATATAGGAAAGCAAATGGAGCGGAACGCCGTGTAGAACGGAAAACTTAAAATATCCCCTATGGACAAGATTAGCGTGGCGGTAGTCATTGAGGAGTAGTAACAATATTTACAGATTCACGTCGGGGCGGCGGAGCGGCCTCCGACTTTTAGCTGCATCTCGAGTTTGCACAGTAGCGGCGTGCTTGTTAGAGGAAAGAAAGCGCGTACATACTTTTGACCGCCATCGGCTGCCAGTGGTTTTCCGCGCAACAATCTGGCGAATCCTAAGACGGCAAATCTGGGTTCGGCAACTTCTTAGGGGTTGCCATGCCAGTCAGAACTCTGCCTAGCACGTGAAAATACTTATGATTCCCGGCAAGGGAAAAACCGAGCACTAGGTCCGAAATGTCAAACTTTTTGAGACGAAGATAGCCGTTCTCTGACCGCCGCGCATGTCACCTTCTGTGACGCCCTGTGAGTCGGTAGAGAAAGCAAAAAACGACAGGCACAATTCGTGCATCAACGCGCACCTTGAAGACTCTGTCCGAATACGATAGCTTCGCTTCTAAGGTGCCTTGTCAGAATTCTGCAGGTACACGTTCAGATTGGAAAGGAGCCGGGGGGTTCCTCGAGCATCGCTCGGATAATCGCCTACCAAAAGCTGGTGTCGCTATCCGGAGCTAGCGCAGAAAACCGTGCATAACTCGCAAAAAAGAGAGACGGATCACCAGCGATGCAAAGGCTTCTTACGACCCCACCCCCTCCACCGTCAGACGGCATCGAGGGGTTTTATAATCGGGGGCGCGGCGCGCTTGCGCTGTCCCACATGGGCGAATGCAATTGGAAAGAATAGCCCACGCTTTGAGTGCAACTGGACGGCCGGTCACCTTCCTCGGGACGTGAACGAAACTCCAACTGAACGGGCCCAGTGGTTCATAAATTCCGAAGCGGAACCAGTTTGCCTGCTTTGCCTGCCGGCCGGATCAGTCTGAGAGGCTTTTAGAAGTGTCCACGGATGGGGATAAAAGTATCCGTGGGCTTCTCTTCTTCGGGTTTGAGCTTTGAATCTGAAGAATTCCCTCTAGTCGCGTCCCTATCTCAGGATTGACATCTGGCGGGTGTCTTACTGGACCGCGGAATAGGCCTGGTTTCCTGTACGTCCCCCCGTTTCTTTTTGCCTTTATTGACATGTCGCTTTTTTCGACTGCGACTCGTCATTCAAACGGGCAGTATTTCAATTGCGCATCTGAGGCTATAAGAGTTGTCACAATCAGCTGGTGTGATAACAAAGCGAAGTTTCATGCGATCATCTGAGGACTTGACCGCGAAACAGGCCTGGATGTGTGGTCGGTTGGGTAATCGACAAAGCTCTCTAAGGCTCTCGGAATCGATCGCCACTCTGTCCTTATGCGACCCTCTCCTGGAAAAATCCGTTCCAAGTGGATACGAACCAACACCAAAGACGTCACCTCGCTCCTATATGATGATCAGGCACCTGGTCAGCAGCTTTGCGAAGATGGGGTCCAGCCTGCATCATCGGGACTCCACCCATTCGGTTCCACGAAGGATCCGGACGTCAGCTACTTCGGCGCAGCGCACGCGTGTCTTCTTGAAGGCGCGCTAGTCTGAGCCGGTTTCCTTTTTACAAGTCCTGCATATCGTGAGCACTGAAACTAATGAAGGGACGTATTGCAACGGTGGATGCGGACTCGCTAGCGTGAGGCGATTGATGCTTGGAAGGTTCTGGTTTACGTTCGAAGCTTGAGCTTGGAAGGAAGCGGGCCCGGGAGGCTTGCTTTGGTCCTTTGGATCTGCCGCTTTTTAGAGGATTGGTATTGCTGTCAGCACCTTCTCCTCATTGCCAACGTACACTACAATGGTTAAAGAGCTGGGGGTAAATAATGAGACGACGTTCTGCCCATGTTCTCCGCTAAGGTTCCTGTTGGACATTATTTTGAGCAGCAAGGATCGCGCAAGGAGCTGTTACTACTGAATTGATAGCGCCTTTCCCAAGATGAAAAGGTTTCCACCGTTTCAAATGTGGCGCATCAAAACTACTGGAAATCAATGGACAGCTCTAGTGCAAATCACTAAAAGTACTATACATAGCTGGGAGGGTGAAAGTTTGAAGCTTTGTCAAGGCTTGCCGCAAGAGTGCTGTAGTCACTTTCAGGCCCAACGAAAAGCAATGAGCGAGGTCTAAGATTGATCAATTGTGACATGATCATCAGCGTATAGCTGGCCGCATCAGTACGTACGGATCCCGGCCGCGGGTATCGCGCTGCCGCCCGCGGCCGCGCTGGTCGAGCCTGAGGCTTTGAAACGGTCCGGGTTTGGCCAACTTCAATCTGGACGAGACCGTCTACTTCCAAGTTCGGGCCTACCAAATGAAGTTCGGCATTATCTTGACGGCCAAGATCGGTGACCACGGATCGGACGGTGGAGAGACGGCAATGATTGTGACGGAACGCCCGTGACGGTAAATATGACTGGAGAGGATTTGCCACGTTAGCCCCCTGCCGCGATTTACCGGTACACGAGAGGCCCGACCGTCGAACCGTACAAACTTAGGGACTTGTGACCCGGGCACATGGGCAGCGTTCCGGGCGGTGGTCGGTGCACGAACTTAGGAAGTTGAGATCAGGCCGAAAGGCCATCTTTGAAAACTTGAAGGGCCCGGGAAATTCGGACCGAGGAGCAGGGTAGGATCTGCCGAGGCAAGTGTTACTTAGAGGAGAGGCTTTGCTGTGGGAAGTAGAGTTGCTCAGGGCTTGAATAATGGAACTTGTGGACTCACATTGTACTGGATTCAACAGTGGGATCACTGGAAGCAGTGGGCAGTTGTCCAGTGGGCAGGTGAGGGTAGAGCCAGCCACCTTGAAGCGCATTGCTTCAGGCTACTTCAGAGTTGATTACCAGCAATGCCAGCTGAGGGTAGCTGTCAAGTGCCTCACATGCGCACAGCAGCTCTGGGTGAAGGATACATCCTCAACAAGTGGTGGCAGTGATCTGCGGCTCACATTCCGTAAGGGCCAGGAGAGCGATGTGAGTAATGGGCTCTACAAGGGCTATCTGATCAGCTCAGAAGTGCCAAAGGGAAAGCAGACAAAGCAAGTTGTGTGCCTCAGTTGCATAGAGAGACTCCTGGGCAGCATTGCGGAGAGTGCAGATGGGCAGTCAATCATTCTGGGGTGCAGAAGAGATGGGGGTGCAGAGGCTGTCATTCTACGGCGACAGCATGGCGCGGCATTCTGGACCCAGTGCCTTGAGCTCACCACTGAGATCCTGGCCTTCCTGTCGCAACGAAATGAAAGCACAGTGGTGCGTAAGAAACGCGCGCTGAATGCGGCAGAACGAGTAATCAACAGAGGTGCAGCCAAGGGGGTGCGTCAAAGGGGGCCACAAGAGGGAGAGATACCGGCAACGACTGATGTAAGTGGCAGATCACGCCCACTCTTTATTTCTTTCTATATATAACATCAGGACAAATCAATGACGACAGAATCTTATTCGATGACAGTGCCGCTTTGCAGAGCTTGCTATTGCTTGAAATGTCGATGCTTGAGAAATCACAAACGAAAGCTGCAACGCCTTGACTTCCATCTCGTGCTCAGCCTCCTTAGACAGAACCCAGAGCATGAGATAGCTGGCCAGGCTCTGAAGTTGCTGCTCGCAAATCGCGATTTTGAAAGGGATGGGAGCCTGGTTTTTGAGATGCAAGATGGAACGCAAAAGAGACTAATTGATATAGCGCCCCCTTGCAGGCGGGAGGTGCCGATGAGCTCAGCGTAGATGCGAGCATCAAGAGCCAGGCTTCGCGCTACCTCGATATGATCGGCAACGGGGGCTGTCACATATCTGTGCCGGCTGAAAGCGCATGCCCCCCCTTGAGACTCTACATGCCGGCTTGGGATCACAACGGCCGAGGGAGAGCAAAGCCGCTGGGCAAGCCGGACAAGAGCTGCGCGCTTCTTGAACAAGTGTGGTGGGACACCTTGGGACAGCTGAATTGCACTTGCGACAGGGGACGGCTCACAGAGGATGCGCCATGCGTGCATAAGCTGGCCATGGCCGCACTGAGCGAGAGCTGGATCCGATGGGCAGAGATGCCAACTCGACAGATGCTGGGGCAAGGAGTGAGGGTCGAGCGACTCGCGTCGGACGAGAAGGGGAGCTACTTTGCCGTGCGCGACAATCCCAATGGTGTCTCCCGGCGCATGGTGTTTCGAAGCAAGGGTGGGTGTTGGTATTGCGAGGGGAAGAGGGATGGATGCCCGTCGTTGACGGACTGCTCTCACATAGGTGCGGCAAAGGCCGCTCTGATCAAGGGGGAGGTTCCCACAACAGAGGCGCTCGTTCTCGGATCAGGGTCGCTTGCAAGGGCCGCCACTAGTTGGCTGGAGTCATTCGACGGCAGAGTGCCTCTGATAGGGGCGCCGGCAGTGGAGCTATCCTCGGGGTCGGAAGGGAATGCGGATCGAGACTCGGGGTCAAGCAGAGGGGGGGAGGGGGAGCGAGGGGAGGAGGGGAAAGAGGGGCTCTCGGACGAGGAACGGTACCTTCTAGGGCTCCTCGAGAGGCGGCCACACAAAGAGGCGGCATGCGCCGGAGACTCGTGCTTTTGTAAGAGACACGAGTTTCTCTTCGGTGAGGCTAGGCCGCCGACGGAGGAGAGGAGGGAGGGGCAAGAGGGGGGGCACGACGCGGGAGTCAGCAACGAGATGACTGAGGGGGGACCTGCACTCAAACGAGCACGGAGGTCGAAGGCGTTCTGGAAGGCAGAAGCACAGCGGCCAACAGAAGTGGCTCGCAGTGGGGCGAATGGGAGGTCGGGGCAAAGGTCGGGACCATCGACGGATGCCCGGGGGAAGGATGCGATCCATGGCTGGGTCGCCGCATGTTCCAATTGCAAGTTGAGCTTTTTAGCGGCAGGGGGGGCGTGCAAGCATGAGAAGGAGCGGCACTCAAAGGTCCCGGTGATGCTTTTGAGCACCGAGGCGACTCAGGTGTCAAAGCCAAAGCTCGCGAGGCTCTCTGACGCCCCAAACTTCCACGACCCTTGGGTCACGGCCCTAAGCGGTTCCCCCGTTCGAGTCAGTAGGCTCAGAGACTGCCACTTCAAAGAGCTCTCGGATCTCGGCCTGCTCAACGCACCGTGCCCGCTCGACCCTCCTCCTTGCGGCGGTTCTTGGGTTGAGAGAGAAGTGGAAGCCTCGGTGACCGCTTCGCAGTGGAGCCAGCGGGTTCGAGTGCGCCTCTATCACTGTAATTGCCCCGACGAAGCGCACACCATCCATTTTGACGGGGAGCATCTAGGGCTTTACACTTGGAACCGGAGGACCCTCTTCGTGCAGCAGAGTCTCCAATTGCTCCTGCGCGGCATGCAACACGGGCACTCGTTCAAGGCGGAGCTCGCCACCAATCAGACGGCCTTTCAGCAATGCCCAGAGGCGGAGGTCTTGAGCGAAGAGACCTGGCGGCGCGCGAGTTTGGACTTCTTCAAGTTGCTCGGTCTTGGGATCCGGGATTGCTGCACTCTTTGCGGTCCGCATCCGAAGGTCAGTAAATGTCAGGCAGAAAGTTGAATGAGTGTATGTACAGAACTGGGATGCTCGAGTTGGGCGCAATAAGGTGTGTACATCCTGGGCACGCTATTTAGCATGTTGAAGCGTCGGCGGCGCTGTTTGATCGAAAGAGTGTACAGTGAATGACAATCACAAAGCTTTGCAAGCATCTGAACGGATGTACACTGTTTGCAGGTGCTGCTCTGCGACGGGATCGTTGGGCTGGCCAATTCGGACGGGGGCAAGCGTCCAGGGGGGCTGGGGTCCACGACCCTGGACATTCGGCGCACCATGGTGCATCCGAGCGTGTTCGAGAACGGGCAGCTTCTTCAGAAGCGGTCGATCTCGGGCCAGGACTACTGCGGAGCGGGCCTGGAAGGAGGTGGCATGAAGAGAAAGCTTATCCTCCAGCCGGAGCTCCGAGAGGCGATCGCGCGTCTCTCTCAGCACCGGCCGAAGGACGAGAAATTGGGTTAGAGGCTCTCGGAAGCGGAGTTCGGCGCTCTTCTGGATGGGTTGGCGAGCGATCCCTGCACCGTCAAAGGGTTCGGCCCTGGCGAAGGGGAAGGGTTGCTGCCGGAGGACGGCAGGAGGCGGATGCTAATCGAGCAGCGCACGATGGTGAGAGACCGGAACACGGCAATCCTCGAGCTCCTGAGAGGCATCCAAGGCGATTTCGAGAGACGGGGGATGAACGGAAACCTCTGGGAGTCTTGGATGAGCGAATGGACGGAGCTGCTTTATTGTTTGGGTGCGCACGACAGCGACGAAGACCTCATCGGAGGGGAGGGATTGCGCGTGGTCCGCAAGCTTCTTCTTGGGAGCGAAGCCACGCTTGAAGACCGGAGGCAGTTAGGGAGATCGGCTCCGATCCTGAGACGGATCCTGGACGCTTACGGCGGGCTGACCTTCCCAGAGTTCTTTATGCAAACCCTGCATCTGCTCTACTTGCTGACCTTGCTTGCACGAGGGTTGACGGGGTTTGAGGGAGAGGGACGTCTCGGCTGGGCGGCTGACGCGATTCGGCCGTTCGACCAAGCCGTCTGGTTGCTTGCCGATGCGCGAGCGCGGCCGCTTGGGATTGATGAGCGCAGACGGCTGGAGCAGGCGCGTGCCTTGGCAAACGAGCTTTTGCCAGGAGTCGAGAGCCTGGCTCCGAGCCCCCAGCAGTGGGCGGTCATGAGTGAGAGGCAGAAGGCATTGCTGTGGGAGCGGCTGGGTCGGAACGAGGAGGGCGTTTCGCTGCATCCGCTCCCAATTGGGCACAGCTTTCGAGCCGAACAGGACGCGCTCGCTCGGTATGACTTCCCGGGCTGGGAGCAGTATCGAGGCTTGCCCCATTTCAGCGATTTCGAGCACCCTGACGGCCGCAGCAAAGGGTCGGAGGAGTTCAAATGCGCTTCGGGGAAGACCGTCGGGGAGTGGGATTCTGAAAACGTGCCCGGATTGGTCAAAGGTGGGGGGAAGGCGGGCAAGAAAGGAGCCATTTCAAAGCGTCCGAATCGGAGCCGGGGCGCCTTCCTTTTCTGCTGTCCGCACCGGTTGATCTATGGCTATAATGTGATGCTGAGGGGCGAGAGTCCACGGGATCCGTTCGCAATTCTGTACACGCGGCTGAGGCGAGAGGATCTCCCCCGGGTTTTGTGTTACGACAATGCGTGCGCTCTGCGCAACTACTGTATGCGCAGAGCCCCGGCCCATTTCTCCGACGTTCGCTTCGTCGTTGACAGGTGAGCGGCTCCCCAAGTTAAGTTTGCTTTTTGCAACGGATGCCTTGGCTCTGGAGTCGAATGTGTACATGCAAGCCTGTGTGTGGAAACGAACGCACCATGCAAGTGCTAGCTCAAGCTCGATTGAATGCTGATGTACACGTTTCCTGTTTTACAGATTCCACTATGCGAAAGCTGGGGCCGAAGTGCATAAGTGTGGGCCTAGCAATTCAGTCGACCTCTACGAGTCGCTGAATTGGGTAAACACAAGCGCGGTTGAGTCCGTGAACAGCTTCCTGAAGGGTTTTCGCTCGCTGGGGTGGTACAGCAGCCTGGAAAGCTTCATGGTCATCTTGCCCTTGCTCCTCGGGGGGTACAACGCGGCTCTGAGGCGCGTCGACGATGCGAAGCTGTGCGTCGCGATTGCGGCGACCTGTTGGACGGTTGGGATGCGATTAGCGTTGCTGAGAAGGTAGGGTAGGTGCCAGGCGGGAAGATGATAGAAGGACAGTTGTGTTTTCGATCCTGAAAGAGCAAAGTGTGAAGAGGGTAGGTCTCTGAGGTAGGTATATTTGGACGGAGCAAATGGAGGGAAGAAGGGTAGAGTGATGGGTACAATCTGTTTTTGAGGTAGGTAGGTAGGTCGGTAGACGCCTTTTTTCTTGGCCGTAGAGGTTTTTTTTTTTTTTTGCTCTCTCTCGTTTCAAAATCACGTAGACGTTTTATAGTAGAGTATAAATACTATCTACCTACCTACCTTTTATTATATATAACCCTTATACCATCCCTAAAACTTCAATTTCTATGCACCTACCTTGGACCTACCTCGGACCTACCTCACCTACCCTCCACCCATTGCTCGTACGCTTGTACTTCATCATTGAGAGCAACGGTGGCGTGGTTTATTACCATTCCGCTCCAACCATGCTTATTGGTGATCAGCAACTTGAGCCTTTACGACAATCTCACGGCTCACATAGTAGCGTCGCAATGATATACCTCTGTAGCCAGTTGTGTTTCGCCCTTTTATCTTGATTTGCTTGGCATAAATCACGCCCTTTAGGCTTTCCATGAGAGCCTTGAATTCAGTGACGGTCATTGGGCGATCGCGCCTTCCCACATAGTTCTCGTACGCCTGCTTGAGCACATCCACATGCGCAACCGTACCTTCACGAACAATGCAATGATCGGCAATAAAGTTGTTGAAGTGGTCGTTAGCTTGTACATACCCCTCGAGAGCATCTTGCATCTCCTTCGGCAAGTCCTCTACGGAGGGGAGGCGGCCTCTCGCGTACCAAGCCATGCTGCCTCGTACGAGCCAAGCAAGCATCTGCTTCCTCCACTCTGGCGTTGTGATCTTATCCTTTAAATCGGGGTCGATGAGCCGTTCGTTCGTGCCCGGGTGCGGTTTGTCAACAAACTCGCGCTTAAAGGGGAAAACGCGGAGCTTGATCTTTAGCGTGCCCGAATCGGTTACGTCAAACTTCGGAAGCTTGTTTGTGCAGATGATCGGCAAACAACGCATCTTTACCTCAACCGGATCTTTGTGTAATCCACGAGCGGTCATGCATCCATCGCCGGAAGCGATGGACTTAAGATTAGCGCCATTATAAACATCATCTTCTTTAACCTCTTCCAATATGGCTAAATGTGCGCCATCAAGCTTGACAAGATGCGGTGTTGCCGCACCCTCCGACCGAGCACCGGCCCCAATAACACAATCTCGATCCATTGAAACGCAATACTTGTCCCCGCATGCCTCTTTAACAGCGTTAGCGAGCGCTGTCTTGCCCGAATTGGAAGCTCCATACCAGATACAGAATTGCTTCTCTCTGAAATGTCCCGTTATGCCATAACCAAGAGTCATCTGCAGAACGGGGATCATCTCCTTCGTTTTGTGTCTGCTGCATGAAATCGTCAACCAGTGGGGACGGGTATGTATGCCCCTCGTACTCCGTTGCACACTCCTTCGACAGCACATTGCTCGGATGATGGGGTATGAGGTCGCCCGTCGGTAGATGTATGGCACCGGATGTTGTATTTAAGTAATCCCTAGCCGCATCGAGCTCTTTAGCAAAGTTCTCGACTTTTAGCAGATCCTTTAGTAAAACCAGACACCTACTTGCAATTGGGACTTACTCGACGTCCGGCCCCTGTCACTTAGCCGTCTGTGTTGTCCTTTTCTTGAGAGCTTCGAATGCTTTTAAGATAGCCCTCTCACCGCTCTTTGCTTTTCGAACGTCCTCTTTCGAAGGAGATTCGATCAAACTATGAGCAACGTGAAGCTGCTCAATCTCGGCATCTTTCGTACATTCTGCCTCAACGAGCTGGTTGGTGTGTATCTCTGTGAGATACTTTAGACAAAACGTCTTCACTCTTCCCATGTGGTACATGAAAGCGTTTCTGAGCACCGTCGCTTCTGAGTCGCACGACATCCATGAGGTTCCATTCCATAACCAGAACCTTCCGGCATCATACACGACCCGTCTGTCATGCTCGAAAAGCTTTGCAAAGATCGATGCAGCTCCCCAATCGCTCCTGCATATCATGGCTTCCATGAACGGCCGCTGCAACCGCGCATTCAGATTGCTTTCGCAACTCACAGTACGGTCTTGAATTCCAAAAGCCCCCACCCCCACTTGTTCGAGAGCGGCAGGAATGCTCA